CTTTCTTTCTTTCTTTCTTTCTTTCTTTCTTTCTTTCTTTCTTTCTTATCAGTAGCAGAAAACAGACTAGGAATAGTCTTCTATTCCTTACACGGCAATATACATGATTATATTTTTACTCCCCTGTATTGTAGCTTATGTATCTCCAACAGCATCTCATTGATACTGCTTTAGGGTTCAGTTTTCGTAAAACCTTTTAACTAGTTTTTGTAAATTCCAATGTGTACACTCCATAAATATATACTTGAGGGGCTATACATAGTATCAATCTGTTTATTACTTTTTTCTTTTAAAATTTAGTTGAAATATGTTTGTAGGGAAATTCAAAGAAGGAAAGACTTCCTCACTACCATCTAAGTTTCTCAGACAGGTTTGGTGATCACCATTAAGTAATGTGAAACGTATTATGAAAGCTGTTGGTGGAGGGATAATGACCTAATAATGGCTAATGAATTTGGGGCTATTCTGCTGCACCCATCACTCCTATATTCCACCTAGAAAATTTTCTGGGAGTCCTTAGAAAGATTTTTGGGATGTTTAGGAATGAAGGAAGGGAAGAAGTAGTAAATAACTACAACTGCCAACCACCTTAAGTTATCTTAACCTTTACATTACAACTTAAGTTATCTTAGCCATTACAAATAGTATGATCACAGTTAGAAACGAAGACATTAACATTCCAACTAGCTATCATTGTAGTTGTTCTGTATAACATTAATTCCCAAACCTTGTAATCTAATGGCTTTGTTAATATGAAACTACTGCATTCCAATCCATTACTTCCTTAGGAACTCTGGCATTACTCTTTTGTTTTCTTCAATCAAAGGAATATTTATGCATGCATAGATTTGCCTTCTTTGCTGTAATAAAATAGAAATTAGGAAATTCTCATTTAAAACCAGGACATGGCTCTTGTTCCCATTATAAGTCATTATATTCTGGGCAAAGTATCTAAGTTATTCTTTGGAGAAACACCCTCAGTGACCTCATCTTTTCTCCATCTCTAGACATTTATATGTATTAGGGTAGGCTTCTTTTTTGAGAAGCAAAATGTATTGACATATGTTTATCTTGCTCTGTGGGACATCAGGTCAACAGACTCCCTTTTCTTTAATAGTGTGGCTGCATTAGATGCATTCAAATGATTGAGAGGAAAACTGTTGTTAAATGTTATTTCACATGCACAAACAAATCATTCAAAATCAGCACAGAAACAAAAGGTTTGGATAAGTAACAGTTCTGATGACTTGTAAAGTGTGTATTTAACTTACAAAAGCTGTATGAAGGAGACAAATAATAACAGTGTCCTGAAGGGAGGGGAAACAAGATTATCACTCAGGGAGGGATTCTGTCTCTTGCTGTTTAAACTGTGAAACTGAATTTTATTTGTTTAGTAAAGCAAGTGTTACACAATGCTTTGAAGTCTTAAAATTCTGGGATAAAAGTTTACATCCAAAAATGATGGGTGTATGAAAATTGTGCTTTCAGACAGTATAGTTATTTGTCATACCAATTCATCTCAACTTAAGATTTTGGGCCAATTCTATAGTATTATATCTATCTCTATATAATTATGTATATAAGTGCAGTTTCTCGGATACAGTTCCTGCTCAAAAAAATTCTAAAACAATGTGCTTCACTTCATATATAGCCAAGGCACCTGTGTATTTCTCCCTTTTGGACAAAAAGTGATACGAAGATCCAGATTCCCTGGTGAAGACAACCATTTTATTAGGCCTTCTCTCTTCCATCATGGAGCTCCATAAGCCAGAAGAGAAGGTTCTATTTGGCTCCTTGCTTGGGCTGGAAGAGATCCAGGAGGCTGCGTAGAGCTTCATGATCAAACGAGGGAAATCAAGCAGAACCGTGAAGCAGAGGGACAGTAACAAAAAGGCTATTCTGGTGTGAGGAGGAGGAGGAGGAGGAGAAAGAGGAGGAGGAGGATTCTGGTGTCTTCAGCTCCACAAGCAGATGTTGCCACTGGATTGACACGTGGAACCTGCTCCTGCAGGGGAAAGGTAGAGCTTGCCATTGGGACAAACACAAATCTCATAGATAGTCTGTCTTGTTGCCGATGAACTTGGCGAGGAAATTGAGGGAAAAGACCCCAGCGGTAGATTCCCTAACCGGATTGAGTCTGCATTTAAAAATATCTAGGAAAAGAAAGGAGGAAAATAATTACTTTTACTGCAGGACTTCACTGATAAATATATTATTGGATTCTCTAAAATAAACCTCTAAAATTGAGAAGATGATACCCTTCTCTGTACTTCAGAATGAAATTCAGTTATTCCAAAATAGCAGAATCATGCTTTCCTGGTTAATTGGACTTCATGGCAACCCAGTGGCTGGCAGGAATGCCTTTCTTTGTGCAATTCCAGCCATCCTTATTTTTGATACCATACAAATTTTTCTTCAGGCATTTACATGTTGAAATAGGTCAGAAGGCTGAAGTAGTGCATAAGAGTTTGAGCTTTGAAAAATTAAAAACATACAACACTATACTCTTTGGTGATTCTGATTTAACTGTAGCCATTCGTCAGTTCCACTTAGAGAAGAGATTATGCATATTCCCATTACTAATGTAGCAATTATACTCCTACATTAGTGTCCATCAGCATAATGAAGTTTGAAAAGTGCCCTGTAAGTGAGAAGGCAATATGTATGTAATTCCCACAACTCTGCAACTGTTTCTCTTTCTTGTTCAGTTAATATTCTCCCAGTTGTTAATATCACCTAGGAAAAGAACATTCAGGAAAGGGTTGCAATTTATGGCTACTGATATGGATTTAGATTGTTGGACAAAGAGACTGCTTATTTGAAAAAACTTGCAATGGTGAATTTCTATCTTTTAGCTGAGGACCTTTGTTGGGTAATTAGGAAGAGATTAGTTGGTAATTAATGATGGAGAAGAGATAAAAACATATCCAACAGCCCAATACCAGCCCTACCTTCCCTAAAAATGATCAGCATTGTGGTGAAAGCTAGGAAAGTTAAACTGAACAGCTAATGATTATTATAATACAGTAATGTGGAACTCAACTTTTGTTTGATTCTTATGATTGTGCTTAATTAATATTATAGGGGAATCAAAACTTAAAAATAAAAAAAAAACTTTGTGGGAGAACCAACAAAGAGTGCATAAATAGTATGAAGCTTAGAATATGGAATAGGAACAGATTATGATTATCCTAATAGTTGAAGAATTATTATTTATATAGTATTTGCTGATACCTTCAGTTAGAACACTTTTTGTCTTGATATAAAGCAGTAGCAAAAATGCTTCAGAATCCCACTTACTCCTAAAGGATTTAACATATTCTTTACAAAATATTTCTAGAAACAAGTGCTAGAATACACTAATTAAATGTTCAAGAACACAGAGACATTTGGCGTAAGGATTTGGAGTATTTTATGTCTAATATATCTCTTCCATTCATTCCACCATATATCTAATATATCTCTTCCATTCCATTAAGCCATGAAAATAAACTGGACACCTATGGGCCAGATCCTTTCTCTCACTTACTTCACAGAGTTGCAATAAGCTTATGGAAACATAATATAAAATGATCAAGAAATTGAATATATAACATCTAGTGAAGTTGGTGCAAGTCCAGAAGAGGTTAAAATGTATTTTGTTGGAACCATTGCAACAAAATGGCCTTCATGAGAGGATGACAATGAAGCCAAAATGTAGGAGGCATCCCTCCCATTTTATTCACATAAGAGAAAAGGAAGCCATTTCCTTGAAAAGTTTCCTTGAGCTGGAGTCTTGGCTGCATGCCACACTGCTGGAGTGCAGCTGGATTTCAGAATGTCGGTAGGAGAAAGATGAAGACGAGTTGTTAAAGATAAGGAAATAAGGAACCCAAATATGTTGTAGGAGAAAAGATCTGCAACTGGAACCATGGGAAAGGTTATACCTGTGTGTACAGCGTGGCCAAATAACAGAGGAAAAAAAAAGGAAAAGGTCTTGGTAGCCAGAAAGGATTCTGGAATCTGAGTGGGTCAAATCAGAATGGAAGAGAAAAGAATGTGTCAAAGTAAGTCATAGAGGATGTCAAGTAGTGTGCACTTCAACCACATCATTTTACAGAGGTTCTTAGTAAACCAACATGCTTCCAGAAAGAAACATGGAATAATCATGCTTGCCTTTTATTTCCAGTAATACATTAAGTTCTTAACAAAACTCCCTCCAGTGTCCATCTGGTATCTATCTTGACCCATTAGGTGTATAGAGCAGAACATCTTAATGGGTTTGTCTTTCCTCCAGAGACAATAAGCAGTGACAAATATTTGGAGCAAGAACTGATGTGACCATAAATCTAATGTCCTCCAGAATCAGATCAAACATCAGCTGCTCAAAGGTAAAGATGCTATCAAGCACAGATTTTTTTTATGTACACATGTAATTAAATGTGATGCACTTTATTGCAAGACAGAGAGAAATAAAATTAATTTAAGGCTCCAGTTCTAAGTAGCATATAATGAACTAGTGTCAAAGTAAACATGCATAGGATTTCACTAGATGAATATGGTTCTCTAATAAGGCTTACCTCCCCTTCTGTAGACTGCAAATGTAGCTCTTTTCTACAAGTGGCTTTCAAGTCCCCTGCAGCTGCACTCACTTGTATTCCCTTTGGAGCTTCCATTATCAAAGATCTGGTAGGTGATTCAAGCCTAGAAAATGGTGGGTGGGGATGGAAATGAGGAAAGTGAGGGAATTTATAAAATAAAGTAAAATACCACATGTCCTATGCATTGCCCATCAGCTAGGTATTTTTTCCTACAACACAATAGAAATAAAATACCAACAACATTCCTAATTACACTGAACTTTCTTTTGAATATCAGTTCATATTTTGTAGAGTACAATATTATTTTTTCTAGAACAAGGTCTATTTTATTTCAAGTCAGTTATTTTGCAATGAATGGTCTATCGGGATATAATGTTTAACTATGACTAATAATTGTATATAAAAGTTGAAGCTAGTGGGTGCTGTTTTATATCAGGGGTGGGATTCTACCAGTTTGCACCTATTTGCTAGAACCGGTTGTTAACATTCTAAGCAATTCGGAGAACTGGTTGTTAGAAGAAATTACTGGCCTAATCCTGTAAGGAAGGCAGGAAGAAAACATTCTGGTGTTGCTTACAGAAACTGCCTCTCCATTAACCCTTATTACATTCTTGGCAGGACTAGACTTCCTGTCTCAGGAACTTCTCTGGAGTTTTTTTTCCCTTCCTTTGCTGGTACTTTGCTTGTGTGGAGTGACCATTCAAAGTTACAGTGGCACTGAAAAAAGTGACTTATGACCCCTTTTCACACTTATGACTGTTGCAGTATCCCCACAGTCATGAAAGGCCAGGCAAGGAGATGCGTACCTCGATGTGAGTAATGTTGAGTTGGCCACGCCCAGCTAATAATATGACCACCAAGCCACATCCACCCAGTCGCATGACCACCAAGCCACACCCACCAACTAAGCCATGCCCACAGAACCGGTTGTTAAAAAATTTGAATCCCACCCCTGTTTTACATCCATGTGTAGGTGTCACTTGTTGTTGCTTATGAAAGTGGCCCTTGTATGGGCCAAACTCATCAACTTTTTAGCAGTTGATATATAATTACTATCATAGTAAAAAGGAAGCTTATGAAAGTCCCAAAACTACTTTGGGTACTATTAGAAATATATTTACTTCCTCCAAATGAAGGGTCTAAAATTTAGGCATTTGAAAGATCCTGCCAATAGGCATGCCAGGAACACATTACAAAATCTGTCCTATAGACATCAGTCTTTTGGGTTGTCATGTTTATTGTCAACAGGCCTGCTTTGAATATTGGCAGAATATGGATACCAATAAATAAATGCAAAAAATATTAATAAGCATGTATAGCCTGATATTGCCTGATTTAAAGATTTCTTATTCAAATTTCAATGTCATTTTTCCAGGTTTTTTTTTATCAAGATCTGCTACAGACTTACTTCTCTTTTTGCATAAATAGTGCCATTCTTTTACAATAATTAATGACTAGATTTCTTTCTAATAATTCGTGTTTTGTTATTATGCTCAACTTTCTAAATGGTCTGTCATCTCAGTGGTAGATGGGGTGTGTGTGTCTACATGAGTGGGATTAGTGACAAGCATGTGTTGCAATGCTGCAATGCAAAACCTGCCACTAATATATTGTGGAAGATTGTGCAGCACAAGTGGGAAACAGTAGAGATTGTAATTTGTCATTAGCACATTTATTTTATTATACTGACACCATCATGTCTAGCTGGGGACATAAGTAGTTATAGACCTGTTTCCTTGCTTATACAATACATGGCATAGTTATAAAACAGCAAATATTAAACCAAAGCTGAAAAATATAATCAAAAATTATATCATTTATTGGTTTATTTAACTATGTTCCAAGTTAGGTTTAACATAAATAACATTTTAAAGCTCTTTTTAAACAGATTGTCTTATATAAATATTTATCAATAAAATTTAGGAACATTTACCCTTTATTTGATGTGGTTGCTTTAAAGAATTGTGATTTATGTAATAACTGCACCATCTTATTAGGGAAAGAATATAGTTTAAACTGCAGGAAAATTATATTTTTAACAGATATTATTTTAGAACCACCTTTCTTTCAAAAGAAAATTTCTAGACATCATAATTTTTAGTTCACTTCTACAAACTCCACTTTTTTATTTATTTTCCTCAAGCAAATGCTGGTATGTTATTGTATGATGAAATGGACCATATTTTTGTGTGCTTTTCTGATCCTCAAGAAATTTAAAATACATATGGTTTAAAATAAAATTACCCCTGGCTATATAGGTAAGGAAGACAAAATTACTTACAAAAGTAAAGGGTTTTATTGAATTTAAGGCTATTAATGCTAAGTTGGAAACATTAGGGTATATGATGGATATCATTCAGCCACTGTTTTGGGCATTTAAATTGCATTGATTGTAGCCAGAGATTTAAGAAGGTGCTTAACTTTCTACTGAAATCAGTGGGGACTTGAAAGCACTAAAATTTGATTGACCGATGGTTGATATAGATCACATATTCTAATCTTATGGAAAAGATAATTTTAATTAAGTAGTAATAACATTAGTCCTGTTAATGTTACCTATCCTGCAAACCCCAGGTAACCAACAATTATAAGCATTCATAAAAAGGATCAAGTATTTAAGATCCAGTGAATAGTTGCACCTTTAAAGAGAGCTACTACTGTGTAATTTGCTGTATTGTATTGCCAGATACAGAATATGTCAGGAAACATGCACAGAAGTGCAAATTACACTGTCTTAAAATCCAAGTCAATCCATATGACATCTATCAATTCTGCCTCAGACTCAGCAAATTTCAAAATTAATATTGAAAACTGACGTTCTGTTTCTTTAATGCTTTAATCTGTCATTTCTAAACTAATTGGATTGGAAAGCTGCACAAAATTTTGTAATCTTGCACAAATAAAGGCAGTTCCTGATGTTTCCTCTTGTACCAGGGTTTCAATTGTTTTGTAATTCTTTACATGCTCTGATAAAATTTGTGCAGGCTCCCCTAGATAACTTTGATATGCCTCTGATGCTTTCTGATATGATACTTGTTGCAATTTTCATCGATGAACTCTAGGGCTTGGCATAGCCAATTTCAAGATTGGCAAATTAATATATTGTTTTATTTTCTGCAAAAGAAATGGATGGATGGCTGTAAGGATGCAAAATATCTTAATATGTGTCATTTAAAAGACTCTACTAACCTTCCAATTAATTACAACATGAGCAAAAATAGGAAATATTAATTCACACATCTACAGAAGGGTGCTGGTAGTGTCAATGCTTGGGGAAAAGTTAAGCCTTTCTCAATTACAGTTCCATTGGCAAAAATATATGAGCCAAATTTAGCTTCAAAAGAAACATCAAATCTTTTCTGAAACCAAAATTGGGAGTCTTTTACATTCGTTATTAAGTTTCATTAAGTTGGAGTGACACTTTGACTTGCAAAATGCCAGATGATAGTGGGTTGATTCTTTTTACATACATTTGCATTGAAAGCCAACAGAAAGAAATGCCACTCATATTTATATTTTTAGTATAAATAGTACAGAAAATGGTCCTGGTGTTCTGTACAAAGCAAGCAGCTTGAACAATATATAGGGCTATTTTGAATCTTGAGAGCCTGTCCAAGTAAAGGGGGAAAAGCAGAACAAATCTCTAATTTTGGCTCTCTGTTTTAGCTATGTAAGGAAAGATAAATTATGAATAATCAGAAAGAAAATGAAGATTGTCAATTTATCACTGGACCTTGAAAGGGAACTCAAGCTAAGTATATCCTTAATTCTGCTGGAAATTTAAAAAGCTACCGTAGAACAGGAATGGAAAATGTCCAACCAATGAAGAAGCTTGTTTCATCTACAAAAACCTGTCTCTGATGAGAGATATGATATTTTTCCTGCATTGTATTACAATCAGATTAACTGATGTCAGAAACTTTTCAAAACATACTTGCTGATCAGACAGAGGAAGTTTAATCCCTTCTACTCACGATTTCCTCACAAGGAAATATAATCTGCTTGTCTTTCACTAACGATTTTATTTGACCCTAGTAGGGCTGGTGGAAGTTTGATAGTGCTTTATTATTGCATGTGAGAGCAGAGGGAGGAAGCCTTGTTGGACAAGTTGTATATTCTCTACAAGAGTTCTATATGGCAGGACAATGTATGAAAACAAATGTGTGGGATGTGCATAGGCACATAGGATGTGTTAATGAACAGATCCAAAAAAAAAAAAAAAAAAGGCCTGTGTCTGCATACTGGCAGTGAGGAGGCACTGTCCCTTTTGGACATGACTTCAGTGTCTAATTCTGCTTTCAAGCCAGAAGGGTTCTCCATTTCTATATTAGAGCAATATGAATGTTAAGGAAAAGATGGGGAACATTCTTTTCTGGTTGAAGGATGGACATATCCCTGGAGAGTTGAACTTGGCATAATATCTCAGGTAAGGTGAGGAAACAGGCTTCTCACTTAGGACCATTATTTCTCTCTCCTCATTTTTTAAATTCCTGCCTGCCTGCCTACCTTCTGGGCTTAGCAGGAAACAGATATATTGATGGAAATCTGGGAACTATAAAATATAACGATAAAACCGACTGTTGAGTGTGAAAGATGCGACTCATCTTTCTGTTTCATACATCTAAGCAAGGACAAAAAGGTTGCATGATTTTCTTGTTGCTTCAGTTTTTGCAGATATTTTTTTCTCTCTCTCCTGGGATCTGGAGCCTGTTTTCTCGGGGAAAAGCAACCAATGGCAGAACTTGCAGGTAAGAAATAAGACCTCAGAAAAGGGTCAAGAGCATCTTTCTTGACTGCTTTGCCTTTTCAGAGTATAGTCTCTCACCAACCTAATGATGTGTTTTCTAGCTCTCACAAAACACAAAAACTATTTGCCATCCCAGCCTCCATGCCAAGTTACTTTGGCATCAAATATCTAGCTACTGAACATATTTTTCTCACCTTATTATGTGAGAAATAAGATGTAACAGTCAGCTTATTATCAATCTTAAAGCTCTCATTAACTGAGACATCTGAAAGCTAAACTTTAATTAAATAGAGCATGCTATTACTTTCAGTGTAGCCTGTTCATTTTAGCCTAGTAGGAGCTACAGAAAAGTAATG